ACGTGATTGTGGACGCCACCGTTCTCGTCGAGAAGAGCCGGCGGCGGACGATGCGATTTGGTCGATCGTCGTCCAGTGACTCACGATGCCCTTCGAGCTCTTGAGGACAAAGTCCGTTGCCTTCGAGCATTATGCTGCATCGCATACCGCTGTACGAAAGACTTTTAGAGCTTGGAGCACTTTCTGCACCAAACTGCCTCACGTTGAGGACTATCGCGCTTTGTCGGAGCGGCTCCTAGCCGTCGAGCAGACGAATGTGTCACTTCGGGCGACGGTGGAGCGCCTGGAACCGTTGGAAATGGAAATCGTTGCACTCCGTGCTCAATACCAGTTGCTGGCTCAGCTTCTGGGTGGTCGAGCGCTTGTGGGCGCCGCCCCGGCACCAACGCTTACGCGTTCGTTTGAGTCGGATCCCGGTACGGCTTAAGCAAGCCCCCAGTAAAATACCGGTCGGGTACGAATCCTTCTCGGAAGGTTTAGCGAATACGCAAGACCCCGCTTGGCCACGACCCAAAAAAGTCAGATAAACCGTGGACGGAGCTTTGTCCTAAAAATAATTATTTAATGATAAATAATATGGATTCATATCTTGAATGATTAGAAAATCCCGTTTTTTTAAAAAACTAAAAAAACGGTGATTCAAAAAAATAAGAATATATTTTTACTTTTTTAATTTTTTGAAGACTTGAGGGCGTTTTGGGGAGAAAATCCCCAAAAATGGGGACTAAGTCCCCAAAAATGGGGAGAAATTGCATGTGTAGGAAGGTTCTTAGCATTTAACGAAACCAGGTCTCCGACCTCAAAGTTTTCAGCATTTCTTCCGCTTCTTCCGTCTGCATATATTTTCTGCATGTCTTCGCTTTCAGCCATCGCGTCGCGAACGTGTCGTAAGACACTCAGTCTGGTAGACAGAAAGTCATCAACTTCTCTACGCACAGTGAGGGGCTGACATCAGCTAGCACTCGGCTATTCCTTCCCCACCAAGCCCTGTGCCATGAGATGGCGGCATCAGGGGGACGCGAGGATAGACGAGCCCGTTCACGTAGAACGGCGTATAGCTGATAGACGCATGCACTGCATTATACAGAGCAAACTCCGCAAGTGGCAGCATGGTGCTCCAACGCCTCGGCGTCTCGGCGAAGACGGTGCAAAAAACGTCTTCAACGACGAAATTCACACGTTCACTTTGACCATTGGTCTGCTAATGGTCCCCTGTTGACATCCAGCTTGGTACCCAGCACCTTGAAGATCGTCGACCAAGCTTCCCAATGAAGCTTTGGTCTCTGTTAGAGACAATTAACTCCAGGAGTCCATGGTGTCGAAAGAAACGATCCACAAACAGCGTAGCTGTACCGACACCGTCGATGATGTCCGGCACCGCCGCAAGATGGGCCATTTTGCTCAAACGGTATACAAAGACCACCACACCCGTGTTGTCCACCGAGTCCTTCAGCAGGCCAAATACAAAATCCATACTTATGGGCTGCCAAAATCCGGAGGGTACTGATAACTTGACTAGCGGTGCCGCTGCATTCGAAGAGGTTTTTGACACGTCTCACGTGTGCGCACATATATGCTCGTCCATTTGTACAGCTTCGGCCACCAGCGGAGGCAACTCACAGAGCTGTAGATCTTTCCACGACCGAGATGTCCACTGAGTGGGGTGTCGTAGGTATCATAGAGGATACGGTACTTCAAATTCTCATCGTGAGGAACCACAATTTGCGGTGTACCCGTCGAATCGGGGCTATAATACAGCAACTTAGTATTCAGCAAATAAAAAAATATCGGTGCAACCTTGCGCGCAATCGCGACAAAAACTTCTTGTCCGAGTTTTCAAACTCCTTGCTGCCGGTAGCCCGTAGCAGCGCTACGCACATGTCGTCACTCGCGTCTGTGGATCAAATCCGTCACTGACGACGTCACCGTCGTGACATGAGAAACTTCATGATCTGGTCTGCGTGACAACGCATCAGCCAAAGCATTATGCTTTTCTGGCTTATACTTCACCTCGAAGTTATATTCTACGAAGAAGGAGAGCCACCCGGACATCCTCTGCGAGACGTGAGGCGACTGAGTGGCAGTGCCTAGTGACGCATGATCTGTGTAGATCACAAGCGGCTTTGATCTGCGCAGGTGCACCCTGAAGCTGACAAATGCATACTTTATCGCAGGTAATTTCTTGTTGTGGACTGGGTAGTTCCTCTCCGTAGCTTTACTCAAAGCAATTGTATTTGAGATGGTGAAAAACCTCAATTTGACTATTCTATAATAATTATGTTTCAAGCCTTAAGCTGGCGAGATTCGAACGCGATCACTCTATCTCGCCCGTCGGCGTCTGATTGCAGCAGTGCACAGCCGAAGGCGAAGTCCGAAGCGTCATAGACGACACTAAAAGGAAGATCGGGGTCCGGCAACGCCAGTATTGGTGCATGAAGGAGGCTGACTTCGACTCCGTCAAAAGTTTTCCGATGCTCGGTGTCCCAACACCATTCCGCATCCATTTTAAGCAGATACGAAAATGGTCGTGCCATTTCCGCATAATTCTCGCTGTAATTGTGCAAGTAATTGGCGAGGTTAAGCCACTTCTTTTGGTTCTTTGGAACAGGCCAGTCTACAAGGGTTTTGATCTTAGCGGGATCCGCTCGAAGGCCAAGCTTCTTAATGAAGCACCCTAAAAAAGTAATTTCTTCAGCGCCGAATAAATACTTGTCTGCATTAGCATACAGCTAATTCGTGCGCATGCACTCGAGCACCGCTCTCAAATAAACGATGTGATTCTCAATGTCCGTCCTCCCGTGCCCCGCACGACTATGGACGAAGATGTAGGCGAAGAATGTCTGTGCATACGCCCGGTGGGGCCTGAACAACTGCGTCACAAGACGATTAAATGGTGCTGGTGCGTGTGACAGCCCATGGGACATCACCAGCCTCTCACAGCGCATGCTGCTCGAAGTACTCACCGCTGTCAGCGGAATATCACTTGCTCTCATGAGCAATTGGTAATACCCATCGACCAAGTCGAGTGAGCTGTACTTTGTACAGCCAACCGTATTATTATGGAAAACATCTTTTCTAGGAATCGGCGTCTGTACCGGAATGGTGGCAGCGTTTAGCTTATTGTAACGGGGTTACACGTACCCTGGTAAAAGGGGTATGTGTCACACGAGATGGGCATGGTGTGACTGCACTTAAATAGCCAGTAGTTATGCATGTATTTAGATTTTACTTTATATATTTAGAAAGATCTATACATATAAAGTTAGGCGGCTTTGCCGCAGATAAAACAAATAAATACAGTTTACATTTTAAACAAAAGAGTTTTTTAGCCTTGGGTTAAATTCTAACTAGTCTCGGAGGTAGCGGATTGCGATTCGCTACACTCGTACTGGTTCTTGTGAAGAACGTAAGGT